ATTGCCCAACCTTCCTTCTGAGGAGTGGCTGGTGGGTTTGAACCGCCAGCCTTCTGGTTAGCAGTCAAGTGCTTTAGCCACTATGCTACCAGAGCTCCCAAACATATCTATTAGGAGAACACAATTCAACTTGTAATAGGGCTGGTGATATGTACCAGATGGGCATCCTCTGGAATAGGCCAAATTAACTTTAAATGCTGTAAAGAGACACTCATGCCTATGTATGCCTCAATTTCCCCATTTGTATAATGGGGCAACAATATGTTCTTATTCTTTCAGGGTGTTTTTGAAACTCATCAGCTCATCAGAGTATTGGGACATCTCTGGTGGCCAAACATAGCTGACCAGGTGAATAGTTATCACTCCTTTGAGCTGAACTTGGAAGTGCCAGGCCACCAGGGCAACCCAGCTATTGGTATTTTTCACTGTGTGGGTTCATCACAGGGGGTACTAAACATCTGTGTGGTTTGTTTTATGTGAAGGTTCAGGAAGACGTTGAAGCTGAGAGCTCTGAAGGAAGGCAAGATGAGCATGCATCCACCATATACCTTGGGTCAATTGGTTCCTGAGAGGCCCAAGCCCACGCCAGTCCTTGTTCCTCTCATCTCACCGCCAGTGTCCCCCAGCAGCCTTGAGTCTGATAATACCTTGGGCCACAGCCGACCAGATGCCAGGGACCCACAGAGCTCTTACGACATAAGCAATAGAGACTATTTCTTCCCCAGATAAACCAGCTGGGATGGCACCAGGAAAGTTGGAGCATCAGACGTGCTGAACAGTGTATGTGACAGAACAGAAGCTGGCTTAGCAAACGGTGCTTTTTGATGCCATTCCAAATATGTTTGCTGCATCTGTTCAGAAGAAAGAGGTGGTTGAGTTTTCACACCACACTTCTCCAAATGCCCTCCCTGAAGGGGTGAGAGGGAACTCAGGCCCACCCTGAAGAGAGAGGTGTCAAGAGTCTACTGGACTCTCTGGTGGGCAAAGCAAGGGCCACTGGGGAGGTCTTGGATACCCTAGTCTTGGTGTGGAGAAACTGCTGGCCGCTCCACCACATCTTGTCCATAAGCTCTCTTCCCTCAGACAAGTCTGGTGGATTTCTAGCGAAAGACTCTTCCAGTCTCCTGTACCTCCCAGTCCACTGCATGGTTTTCATCTTCTAGCTCAAACTCTTGAAACCCAAGTGCCTTGACAATTCACTTTTTCTAGGCCTAAGGATGGCTTCCTCTCAAACCACAGAGGCTGAGGGAAAACTCTCTCGACTCCTGCCTTTTTTCCTCACACCTGAAAAACAGCTGGGGGTGGGGAGGACAGTATCTCAGGGCTTGATGGTTTCTAAATACAATGATCATTACTTCTTTACAAAATGTGAATGAAAAGGAAAGGAAAAAACAATGTGAATGATACACCTAGGCATTTGCTGAATACAGAAGCAACTGCACTGGCTTGATTTTCCTCTATGGATCCCAGGACTTCAGGAGAGAAGCTGAGAGGAAGAAGGGGAGTGAGGGACACTGCCTCTATGTTTTCTTACAGCAGCGGAGCTGAGGGGGAAGACAGCTTCTGAAAACCACTGTTGCACCCCCATCCCCTGCGGCTCACCTCCTCTGGGCAAGGATGAGAGTTGTCATCAGGGAGGGCTTCTGCCCTTGGTGAGATCAAAACCCTTTTATCCCAGCTTTGTTTATTTTGTTTAAACTGAACCTGAGTAACTAGGGAAGATAATATTTATGTGAAATGTTTTGTTGTTATGTGCCATCGAGTCGGACCCAACTCATAGCGACCCCTCCTTGGGTTTCCAAGGCACTATCACTGTGGAAGTAGATTGCCCAACCTTCTTTCCGAGGAGTGCCTGGTGGGTTTGAACTGCCAGCCTTCTGGTTAGCAGTCAAGTGCCTTAGGCACTACGCTACCAGAGCTCCTATGTGAAATAGGAATGTGAAAAGAAAAAACCTAGCAAGAATATATATTTATATATATTTTTTTTTTCTTTTTTAAAAAAGCTGATTATCTTGAGAGGATGTAAGTTCCAGTATTAGCTGAGTGTCAGTATATAAATAACTTTGTGAAAAGCACAATGACTTTGTTTAGCACAAAACTGACTCAAGTGACAAGGAAAGAGGAGAAAAAATATTTTCCCCTATGAGACAAGATTCTGGTTTCATTCTATATTCTGTTTTTGTTTCAAAAAGTTAAAAAAAAAAAAAAAAAGTTTCCCTGTTCTCTAATTTTAGGGGAAAAACAGCTTGTTCCTACTCCCGCAGGTGGCGATGAAGGAAATGGTATCGGGCTACCAGTAGCTGGGAAGCAACCGCCCACAATTACTAGGAAGGGTCAGTAGAAAATCCCCAACCCTGAGAGCCACAAGCCCTCTGCTAACAAAGGTTAACAGTTTACCAGTTGCTGTCCAAATGGTTCTGAGTCACGGCAACCCCATGTGTGTCAGAGTAGCACTATACTCCATAGAGTTTTCAGTAGCTGGTTTTTTGAAAGTAGATCACCAGGCCTTTCTTCCTAGCCACTTCTGGGTGGACTCAAACTACCAACCTTTTCCTTGGTGGCCAAGTGCTTTAACTGTTTGCACCGCTCAGAGATTCCATGACCAAAGTAGGTTCATTAAAAAAAAAAAAGAAAAAAAAAAGTCCCTTACCTTGGTGACTTCCTCTTTTTCTCTCTTTCCTGGAATTTGATTCAGTTCAGCTCATATTGAAGCACCGACTCAGTGTCTAGCAGTGACACCGCACTTTAGCTCACTTTTCTGTCTGAGCTCTGAGAATTCAGTGATGTCAGTGGTTACCCAGACAGGTACCCTCAAGTCGCATGGGGTATCCCAAAGTGAAGCTATGATTAAAATCAGTCAAGTAACCACGGACCAGAAATTTACCAGACCACAAATTTTTTCTAGTCATCTATCCTTTTAGAAAAACAACTACCACTACCAGACAGGTAGCAAAAGGCCAGGTTCAAACTGTTACTATCTTAGGTGAGTAGTGGCTTTGTAAATTTTAGATCCTGTTGCTCTTTTAAGGAGTCCTGGTGGTACAGTGGTTAAGTGTTCAGCTCCTAACAGAAAGGCTGGCAGTTCGAATCCCCCAGCCACTCTGGGAGAAAAATGTTTCTGTAAAGATTACAGCCTTGGAAATCCTATGGGGCAGTTCTACTCTGTGCCATAATGTCTTTATGAGTCGGAACTGACTTGATGGCAGTGGGTTAATAGGTTGCTCCTTTAGGCAACTAATCTTAAATTTACAAAAGTCAGGGTGGGGCCGGGGGGCAAGGGTAGATGTATTATTTGTTTCTTTTTAATTTTTAATTTTTTTTTTAATGTATAAAGTTTCTGGGACTTGTGAACAGCAAAAATGCCGTTAAAGGGAAATATCTAGAATGAGAATCTGCATGAGAAAGGGCAATTCTGTGCCTACAGTTCTTTCTTTACAAGGTATTACCCATATGTAATATTACAAAGCCAGTCTCAGCAAGAGATGTGAAAGCCAGATAGCTCAGTTATCTCAGAGAGTTAGGCAGCTTTGATCTCCAAATTGTTATTGCTTTCATTATTATTGTAATGGAACTACTTTTTTTTTTTTTGTACTAAAGAAGCTCCCCCCCCCCCTTTATTTTTTTAATAAGCTAGTTTAAATGAAGGATAAGTGTTTCTCTTCTCTGGGTTGTAGGCCATGTTCATTGTACACAGTTATGTACTCCAAGCTTTCTCCATCCTTGAATTTGTGGTGACAACACGTGTTTTAATCCACAGGTCATTCTTACCTGTGTTTCTGCAGCATGCGTACTGCCTTTTATTCTTGCCATACAGCCAGATGTGAAATGTTAGGACAGAGACAGTTTGTATTAAGCATGACAACTTATCTTGCTGGCTAAGAAAAGCTAACAATGTGCTGGCTCAAGGTCTAAATTAAAGTGATCATTAATTTTTGTAGCATTAACGAGATATCTTTAAAAAGCTCAAAGAGGTGGCGTTGGATGGGTCTTCAAAGCCTTTGGTGGCTCTGAGAGCTCTTGGCTTTGATGGGGCCTTGACTTTGTGGTTTGTTTGCCAGGCTCTGGCTCACACTGCCTCGTCACCATTTTCCTGCTATCCTGTGGGAAAGGACACTCACCACCATGGCAAGTGGAATCTGCACTCTATCTATTGGAATCGAGTGGGGAGCCTACCTGGAGGTGAACAGAGTTCAGTGGGGCAGATTGGGAGTGGGGCAGATTGGGAATGGCCACATTCTTGAAGAATTTCAGGAATGTCTTGCCTGGCCACTTTGGTGTTGAGCTTTGTCATCTCATCACAGACACTGCTGAAGGCTGAGCCAGTCAGGGAGGATTCTAACACCCAGCTTCAAAGTGCAGTTGATGAGATATTTGGCCTAATTTGGAGAAACAAAGACAACCCGTGACCCACTGGAGCATGAGCACCTGCACCCAGCTTTCCCATGCAGCCTACACCAGTGGGGCAGTTGCTGGAAGGGGCTGGGCAGCTGGCTCAGGTTCTGTGCCAGACACTCCTGAGCGTCCCCTAAAGGTCCTTCCACCATCATGTCCTCTGTGTGGCCAGGCACCAGCTTCACGGTGTTTCTATGACAACCTTAATGATTATTAGGGAACATTGTCAGTTTTATGAACATATGCTCAAGCTAAGATCTGCTTTAGAAAGAAGGGTTTGGAACAGCATGTAGCAAGGCTGTTAATTAATAGATATTATTTGTATGGAGATCGCACATCTGTTAAATAGAATACCTCAGCTATACATTGCTTTTTTTTTTTTTTTTTGAGAGAAAGAAATAATAGTTTTAAGGTTTATGTGTGTGTGTGTGTTTGCCTAATTGCCCGAATGCAAATACCTGATGTCTGTATATGGGGCATAGGGTCAGTACAATATGTTTTTCAATGTTTTCTCTTTTTACCAGCTATTTTGCATTTAAAGTAAAATTGTAAATGTTTGAAATAAATAATTTCTAAAAATATGCCTGAGGTGTAATTATGCTTTGGGTACCTGGGTCATTTAAGGGAAATATTTGAGCTCTGGTGGCATAGTGCCTAAGGCATTTGACTGCTAACCAGAAGGCTGGCGGTACAAACCCACCAGCCACTCCTCGGAAGGAAGATTGGGCGATCTACTTCCTTAGTGATACCACCTCGGAAACTGAAGGAGCAGTCGCTATGAGTCAAATTGACTAGATGACAGTGAGTTTGG